CGACTACTTTCACAGTACTCACCTCACTTTCTTCCTACCTTTGTGTTTGTCTCTTTCATCTTTAAAACACTCTTCTGTTCCCCCTCTCGACATTTTTTTTCACTTTGATGTTCCTCCCCCCTTGTGAAGCCTGAAGTCAACTAAAGGGCTAATGATAGCCAACAAAACTCTGATGAAGATTAGAGAAAACCACTTAATGGCACTATGCAAATTATCAAATATCCAAAATTTCTACGAGATTTTTAAAAAAAAAACAAATAGTACAAAACAACAGCATTGATTAGAATATATTATCACAAGATGTTTACATTTACGGCAAAGCAAACATGCTCAAATAAATATAATTCTACATCTGGATTCTATAAAATTCTATTCAAGTAGCACTAATTGTTAACAATAAAAATCTATTCACAGTTTAGTTGGCAGATTCTGAGGTCTGTGAAGAAGCAGGAGTGGGTGCAGGATCCGCAGTCAATGGAACACCGGCAAGATCAGCAACCCACACAGAAAGACCATCAGAACCCCCACAACGATAGGCGAAGAACGTTGTCATCGCAACCACATAGATGCGAATGAACCAATAGCGCCAAACAAGGAATAGGGAGAATAAGAGGAAGACGATCCAATAAGCGAGAACTAAACAGGCGACGGGAGACCAATTGTCGTCCTGCCCATTTGAGATCATGGCGCCTTCACGGACAAGTTCCGGACTGGGAAATCGACGCTCATCTGGGGGTCTCGCTGAAATGGGGAAAATGAAAAGAGAGTTAACTTCACCCTGGATGATTAAAGAACTTATTACAAAAAGCGTTAATTACATCTTGACAGACATTGGTTGATCTTCAGACATCGATGATAAGAAGATTGGGGTGCGCGATAGACTTACCTCCGCGTGGTGCACCCTGGGCAACGTATACTTATACGGCAAAAAAGTCTATTAATCCGCAGTTGACTTCTGACTTCAAACTACCAAGACCCCACTGCATTTCATATTCAACTAATTCACGGTACTCACTTCACCTTTTTTCTATCTTTGTGTCCGTCTGTCTCTTTTACGTCTGTGAATCATTATTCTGTCCCCCTCTCGACTTTTTGCCACTTTGATGTTCCTCCTCTTTTCTGTGAAGCCGGAAGTCAACTAAAGGGCTAATGATACCTATCATAGCGCCTGCCATTTGAAATAAATAAATATGATAAGAAGACTAAAATTTTTATTTTAGGTTAC